CAAGAAGCCTCCCAGATCTCCAGATGCATTTGAGATATCAAAAAAGTACTCCAGAGTGTTGTTCAGCATGGGGGTGAGTAGAAAATGAAGTCTAATCATGTTTTGGGTGTACTATTCCTTTAAAGACACATGTTTCAATTGTGACTCCTGCTGGAACTTTGCTAAAAGTTAAACGGTGTGAAATCCTCTTTAAAAGGCTTCGGATGAACGTCCGACAGAGCAGAGTAGGATACCTTGCAGAGCATTTTTCCATTGTCTCTGGATCCTACCTCAGTCACTTTCGATAAGTTGTGATATAACCTTGTGACCTACAAGGACGGACATATCACTATGCACGCCAAAAAAGCATCAAGCAAAGAATAAAGCCACTGATGCTTAAAGCTGAGGTTAGATTTCCGTGCATCACATTCAAATCCTCATAATTAACAACATAAAGCTTCTTATACAAAACAATCTTTGATAAATAAAAAATTACATACCCATGCACACATTTCATCTTCTTATTCTTATTATTTTCATCATCTAGCTTCAATTGAAAAGATTTTTTTCAAAGACTTTCACCAATTTTTTCTCTGAATTTTCTTCTATCCAAGAGTCTTTTTCAATTCTGGCAGTTTGCACAAGAGCAACCTGTGGTTGCAGGGTTTATGTGTTTAAACAACCTGTCACTCTCTTGCGTCATTGATCACTCACTGATTTCCATCTCACTTGGAGGATTGGCCTCCATTCACTTAAAAATAGTCGCCCTCCAAATACAACTTTTTTTTGTTTTAGTGCGAGCCGCCAGAACTGACTTCTGGATAGCTAATGAGCATTTTTATCAAACCTGAGCAAAACTTTCTAACTTCCAATGACATTTTTGATTACTTTAACCTGGATGGCTAAGAATCTGCACAGTAAACTAACTCACAAAAATCCACGACAAGTTCATAAGACGTGTTTCTGTACATTAATATTTCTTTTTTAATAGTGAAATGAAAAGTTCTTTAAGCTAAGGACATTTAGAGCTACATTAAAGACACCTTGTTTTACTTGAAGACCTCCCCAGTAGAACCAGTCCAGTGTCTATTGTCGGTTATAGTGGGTTTATTTTGTAATTTGGAAGAAATCGAAATGACAAAAACAATGAGTAGATCAGTAGATATTCTTCCTCCATATAATTATTTTTATTTGAAACGTTTCCCTTTGTTTCAGAATCAGTGATTATATGGACCTGACTCCGGTGGACATTGTAGGCAAGAGGTGCTACCAGTTCATCCACGCAGAAGATGTAGAGGGGATTAGACAAAGTCACCTGGATTGTAAGTACTGCCAACACCTCTGTTCTGCTCCACCCTTAGAAGTATTACACCTTTGCCAATTTTACCTTCTTTTATTTGTTGATTAAATTCTACGTTTGTTTAATTATTTTCCTGAAGCATGTCTGAGTCGGCAGAAGCGTTTCAGCTAATGAAATCAGTGTTAATCCTTTGGTCGATGGTAAATGGTGTGTTCACACCAGAAAGGTCCTTTGGTCCTCTTTTTTTTAATTTTTTTTTCTATTTATTCGTTTATTTGACAGGGACAGTACAATTAAACATTGCAACCAAACAGGTGGCCGATGTCCAAGTACATAAGGCTTGTAGCCATGGGCTAATTTGCAGCCTTCGTCCCTCTTGTTTGGTCCACACCAAGATAACTAGAAGCTTTATCAAAAATGAAAGTTTTAAACCTAGCCTTAAAGGGCAGGGATAAACAGGGACAAAATAATCTAACTTTAACTAGGAAAGAACTTCAATGGAGCTAAAATAAATAAAAACTATTGACTACAACTAAAACTAGACCAAAAATTGCTGAAAATAGATAACTGAAAGGACTAACGAAAGTGAGTAGCTCTAAGAATTCAAAAAGTATATGAATCTTGACAAACACAGAATAACATGAAATAAAACATAACTGAGAACCTAAAAAGAGAACTTAAGCAACACCAAAAAGTATTTACATATCCAGGCCTTATCCTCCGACTGCAAAGGCAAAGGTTCAGTTACCCAAACAAGGCATTTTTCAACATAACAAGTTAGATGCAGTAAGACGTGTAATTCATGTCCTAAAATATCACGAGGGGGTCTGGACCAAAATATTAATTTAAACTCTGTTGAGTAAAAGGACGAGGCTTTGTGTTGAGACATGCAGCGCTGTCTTGATAAAGGCCCTTAACAATGGTGGCTGCTGCCTATTAACCATAAGATGATATCTGCAAGAGAAGGGCATAAAGAAGATAGCTATATCTTTTAATATCCCCGGCCCATAGGTGGCAATTCATGATTGCATGCTCTCGATTCAACCCTTGATTGTACTGTTGTCATGTTGCCAAATGGTTAAAAAAATGATTAGCTAACTCTAACTGTGCGAGCAGCTACCTGCTGTTAACGAGCAGCCGTCTACCGTTCAGAACAAACTAAAAACATATCTGAATCATTTCAATCTAACTTGTAGAAGAAGCCAGCAAACCTGCAGCAACACATCTGGACCACATTAGTGTACCAGCTAACCTTATTTTAGTTTTAGGCATTAATGAACTAACCTGTTGTTAGGATTATTCTCAATGATGATCTGTGAGTCAGTTAAACTCTAATAATACCTGCCTGTTGTGTGTCAGAATGAAGGTTTTCCTAAGTAGTTTATCTACTTTGGACAGTTCCTCTGCCTGGATATAGATAGACTTAGACATCATTTATTTCGTTTTGTACAGCTGTCATGACATTTCCATTTTTTAGGGTGCAGCAGTGATCAAATGTGACATGATTTAGAGTTGTTTTTAACATTCAGCTGTCTGCTGGTAGTGGGGATAGAAGCTGTTGCAGAGTCTGCAGGACCTGCATTGAATGCTGTGAAGCCTTTTCCCTCTTCCTCTCTTTTGTTGCCACTTTCACTGCATGAAGCAAAGGTCCCACCAGCTAATTTAAAACATTTGCGCCAAGCATTGCTAAATAATTTTTTAACCATGACAAAGATTTGTCAAGCTCCTTATAATTAGGGGTGTAAATCACATCCATCATGGCGATTTGATTCAGTATCGATTTCCTGACCCAACGATTCGATTATTTTCGATACTCAAGGATACACCACGATTGGATTCAATTAATCGGTAAAACAATGTTTTGATTATTATTATTTTTCCACCTTACAGGCTAAACAAAGTTTCAAGTTTTAAATAAATCAATGAAAGCTGTAATATCGTTATGCATTTTCTTTAGAAACAACAGCAAATAACAGAAGTAGAAAAGTTGCATCAAAAAATACTGCAGAAATACTGCACATAATCAGTGCGATGTAATACCTCGGCTCCAGACGTCCCGCCCCCTCCACAGACGCTCCACTGCTCCTCTCCCTAATTGTAGCTGAC